TAATAATTTTTTTATATTTTAAGTTAAACAAATATTTTTTATTTTAATTTTATAATTAATCTTAATTCTAGTTATTTATTCTGTCATAAAAATTTTTAAAGGATAAAATAAATAAAATAAAAAATTATATATATATATTTTAAAGACGATGCTCTCCATTTCTCCTCCTCTCTCCTCACCCATCATCCCGGAAAGTTGATCTCTTTCCCTCCTCTCTTGCAATCAGATGTTACAATGAAAAATATTTCCATGCAACAGTGATATCATGTCAGTAGTATTCTCATACACTAATGTAACAGCACATCAACATTGTGGTCTCACTTGGATTTAAATAATTAAGTTCTCTTGAATTCTCCAGCTCTAAAGAACAATTCAGATTTTGGTTCGATACATGCACTAACAGGAGAGAAAAATGAAGATTTTCTTCAAATTAGATGAAGTTAAAGCTTAAAGTTGTAAACAAGAAATGATGCCTCCCGCTTGGGCAGAATATTAAATCCAGGAAACATTCTGTTTTCCTGTTTCTCATCCCAAGGCTCCAATTTTATTCCCTGTTCTAGACTAGATATTTTTTGTGAGAATGCGTATAGATGCAGACAATGAGATCTTGTGTGCCTTGGATAAACTTCCAAATTTTCAATGTAGAAACAGAGGTTGCATGTTCTACATGGCTGAATAGCCTGGGCCACCACCTCCCTCTGGCACTGTCCACTCAATGTTTTGCTTTGGGTCTTTGATGTCGCATGCCTGAAAAAATATTGAGCCAGATTTATTATCGAGCAAAGTGCACAGCTTCTCCTCTTAACTTACACACAGATTGGAGAAATGATTGATTTCAAGGTAAGGGTAAGCTTCGACTAATAGGAACGGGGATGAAGATTACCTTACAGTGCAAGCAGTTTTGAGCATTGATATGCAATTTGGGTTCACCTTTTTCATCAGCGACATACCTTCATTTCAAACCAATATGAAAAAGATTCTGAGCATTGATATCCATTAGAGCTTATGTAAAGCTAAAGCAATAATAAGCACATTACTCGTATACACGTGCAGGACAATATCGTGACTCAGGTCCAGCATATTCCGGTAAGTTAACAAGTTCAGGAATCTTGGGGTCCTTCAAGCGAAGATGGGCTGGTTGATCATGTTCATGGTTTGTGTTGCTCCTAAAATTTCAAAAAAGAACAAATAGTTAGATACATTAATGAAGAGAGCTATTTTAAACCATATTACAGTTGCATTCTTTAGATGATCAAAGTGGATGCTGAGGTTGGCTTTTTACCATCACGTAAAAGCACAAGCAAAGACTACAAGGAGATGGTGCAGATTAATACTTAAGAGACATCTTATTGAGAAATATGCAGTTAGAGATTAACATAATGCATGAGAGCTTCATTGTATAAACCTGTGAACTGAGGTCAGTATGTCAAATGACAAAACACCATCTGGCTTTGGATATTGAATTGGAGAGTGTAACCGGGCAACCTGCAATAAGAAGTGCGCTGATGAGTCTCACCCTGCTTAAACCTTGGCACATAATTACAGACTTCGGAAAAGTCTAACCAAGGAACAAATTTGACCAAAATTGGATGGTACAGGGACAAAATTGACAAAAAATTTCATACAGGGATAAAAAAGATCAAAATTAAAAGTTGAGGGATAAAACCTTGCACAGGGATAGAAATGACCATATTTTGAAAGTAAAGGGATTTTTTGGGGACTTAGACAATTAAAGTTTTGACAGATTCATTTGCATTAATTCTAATATCAAAATAAGTGCAGATATTGACTCTGATATACAGAATGCTTAAAATCATGATCTCTTAAAAATGTAGTTGTCCATACATTTGTTGCCTCGTGGTCAGGCTTCCTATGTTTCAACGTAAATGGTGATCTTCCTTTTGTTATATAGCTGTCATGCAGAAAAACAGTTAGCATCAATAAAGGAAGAAAGCAAATAAAACTGAAGACAAGTAATCATCACATATCAAAGTCCAGCAAACAATAAGAACTTACTGTTCAAAAGCACTTATTGCCAGCCCAGGAAAAAGGCCATACTCAAAGGCCTACAAGGGGAGAAAAAGAATGTTTAAGATGTGAGGTTACCCCAACGATATGACTAGAATAAAAAGTTCCTAATAATCTTCTTCATTGTTAATTGGTTAATTCAGAAAATCTAAATGGCCAACTAGGTATGCAGTCAAATTATTGCAGACAGGCGACTGAGTAAAACAGAAGTTTTATGGATCAGACAAATTAACCATAATTGAAATTTGGTGTTTGACACTATAATGAGTACCACTCAGAAAAATAACCATCTACTGATTCCAAGAAAAAAAAGGAGAGAAAGATAAAATTATCTAGTGAAAAGCAGGATGCACCCATCTACCTTTTCTAGAAAAGGTTGATAAGAAAATTGCAATTACAGCATCTATTGGGAAAACCATAGAGAAATTTTAAGGAGAGATAAGAAATTTGCTTTACTAACAGGGCGGTAATTTCTAGCTTTGTGGAGTTCTTCCCAGACCCATGAATTCCTTAAAGCATCCCAGTATGCTTCCATATTGGAATTGTCATTAAGTACACCAAATGTAGCTTCTGCTGCCAGCATTCCTGTACCAAACATCCCCTTTCAAGTATGCCCACTTAAACCAAAAATGTGTAGTTCTTACACTATGGCATATGATAAATAGAGCTGGGAAGTCCATAGATTTAGGTAGATGGTACCTGATTTCATGGCAGTGTGTGTTCCCTTAATTTTTGGTACATTTAAAAAGCCAGCTGAGCATCCAATAATTGCTCCACCAGGAAAAACTGGATATGGAATAGACTGAAATTTAACTAGCATCATATTCATATATGCATAAATTGTAATAAACAACTGGAAACAGCACACCTTGTATAAGCAACATCTTAACTATACCCCATAAACCTGATTATTAGTAGCTCAGTGTACCAGCCATGTAAGAGAAGTTAATGAAACAACTTCAAATTTTTGTTTCATCTACATTATAAGAGCAATACTGCCATGTAGAACTCTAATATGTGAGTTTACTCATCTCACCTGAATACCACCTTCATTCAAGGTACGAGCCCCATATTGAACCACAGTCCCACCTTCCAATAGAGGTTTGATGGCTGGATGGTGTTTGAGTTTCTAAGGGTAAACAATGAAAGGATATGAGTAAGATTCAAAATGTTTTTTGTTCTAGATAAGAGATAACTACGGAAATTGAACACGGTGTCTTGGAAAATTCAATGCATCCATACAAGCATACTGAACATTACTAGCCCCTATGATTCAAAAACTTAACAATTCTTGGGCCACAATGTTATCAATGCTAGCTCCTATTGATACACCATAAGGCCACATGATGCAAGAATAGAAAATTTTGAAATTGTCATAAATGATAAACATACCAAATGCATAATAAAACTGTTTCATAAATGCACCACAAATGCATAATAATTTTTCATGAATTGATATTCAAGAAGATGCGATACAGAGATCATTCAAACATGGATAAACAAGCCAAAAACTAGAAAGCAAAGTTTAAAACATTCACAGAAAACCTAGATATCTAGTTTACCTGGAATTCTTCATAAGGACTTAAGAAAGGGTTCTGATAATTCAAAGCAACCACAAGACCAATTAAAATCTGCATATTCAACCATAAACAAAAAATAAAAAGGGTAGATGAGCTGCCAAACATTGTAAGAAAAATAAAAAAAAATAAAAAAAAAAAGAGAAAAGAACCACCTATCATGATAAGGCTTCAAAACTTGAAAAACCATCATAACTTTCAGCCTCAAGAATGATATCATTTATCAAATCAATCTAACCCAATTTATGGATCATCAGTTATTAATAATTATGCCAATGACCATGAGTCAGTACTGAGAGTAACCAGATAGCCAAAATGTGAAATCTGGACAGAAAATTGACACCTAAAAATTCCACATGAAAAATGAACTCCTGCTTATAATTTAAGTCTGCATTGAACAGAGTTAAACAAAGCACTAGAAACTTTTATTACCTGTCTATCTTTCATGTGGTATAGAAATGAACCACCATATGTGTTATGATCCAAAGGCCAACCCAATGTATGAAGAACTTCTCCAGGTTTATGTCTGTCCCCATCAATTTCCCATACCTGATCAAACCCATCCAAGAACCATCATACAGGTTAAATGGGCAGAAACATTTCTTTGAGGCAAAACCTCCTTCTTCATAACTTCATAACTTCATTTCTTCTCAAGATATTTTATTGGTCTCCTTAAGTATAATGTTAATTAAGAGGAGAAAGGTAATTCAGGAGCCCCCAGAGACATTGATACAGCATTGTTAAATGATATCAGTGCATATAGATAATCAAGAACATCTAAAATCCTTCAAAAGTCAATTGCAGTCAGATATAATTCATATACATAAGATAAAATATTACCTCTTTAATTCCCAAAGCATATGTCTGATGTTGTGCATGCCCCTTCTCCCTTAGTTTATACTTTTTTAGTATTTTCTGCATAAGAAAATTCAAACAAAGGTTGCAATTAGAATAAATAGGTAGTGAGCAAAGCTGGCAAACTAAGAGCCCTAGAGCAGCATATCCAGAGACAAATTATTCCTCCATACCTCTGACAATGAGCCGCGACATCCTTCAGCTAGAAGAGTAATGTGACCTGGGTGAGAAATTTTTAAAAACAATTAAGTACTCCAGTGATATTGAACTTTTATACACAGGGAAATGCAGAAGGGTAGAAAGTTAGAACATTGTAGTTAATATAATTGTCGATTATAATAAATAAAAGATAAAGCAATCATCTCTTTGTGGAACATATTTTAGATGACTTTTGCCAAAATAACCAAAGATATAAACCACAAAACTTATATGAGTTGCCATACTACATCATAAGAATGCTTGACATCCTATATTCTATTGAATAGAAAGAAAATCAATCATGGACTCATATCTTAATTTTTTCAGTGAGTAATAGTCAACTAAACTATAGAAGTCCATACACCACAACTGAAGCAACTTTTGTGCTGTTTCTTTGTGGCTCTAATTCCAGAAGTCATTAAGGGGTACAACACTATATGTTCCCCCTAATTCCAGAAGTCATTAAGGGGTACAACACTATACGTTCCCCTTCAAACAAGTGGTTAAGACCTTAATTTGGATAGCAACTGAATTAACCAGAGCAAGAGAGAGCGAGAGAGAGAGAGAGAGAGATAGATGCCTTTTAGTTCTACGCCACGCTGAAAATTATCCCTTTTAGAACCATCTTTGGCAATTCCCATATCATTAGTTGCAATACCAATGACTTTGTTGTCTGCATCATGTAACATCTGGACAATGACAAAATTTGTCATACGATCATTCAACATTACATTCTACAAAAATAAGAAAAGAAGTACCTCACTAGCAGCAAAGCCTGGATATATTTCTACTCCCAGTTCTTCAGCTTTCATTCCCATCCAGCGCACCAATTGACTTAAACTGCACAACAATGACATAACAAATTTTTTTTTTTTTCTTTCAATAAAAACAGATAAAATTAGATTGGAAAAGGATAGTTGCCATCATGCCTTATTGGCTGGGCAACTGAAAAATACACAGCCAACAGTAAGACATGGAATTGACTTTTTGCATAATCCAAAAATACATTGTCCAGGCACTATTCACAAACTTCACACAAATACCTTATAACATAGTTTCCTTTGTTATCAAAAGGACTTGGAAGGGGAAATGCACGATCCTTTGTAAGAAACCAAAACTTGTCAGAAGTAACAGGGACATCAATTGGTGCCTACATGCAACATGGGTGAACAAACATAAGTTTCACAGAGAACTCGTATTATCTATTCTCAAATCTATCCATTGTCAATAAAAATTATTCATTTTTTGAAGCCTGTCATCAAAACAGGCAATTACCAATGATGTGTGGCTATTGAGTAAGTTGGTACAACTTAAAGATGGCATTTTGCATTCCTTTGAAATCTAGATATATAGAAAAGTCTAAAACAAATTTCTTATTGAAATTATTACACAAAATTCCATCCAGAATGTCAAAACTTGCTAAAATTTTGCCCTGTTATCATATCAAGGGCCACTTTGTGAATGCAAATATCCAACTGTTTTCAGGAAGGCGAAGATAAGCAGCACACATGAGAAAGAATCTTATTTGCACTACCACGTTTTGTTCCTATTTTCTACACTATATGTATAATTTTGAGTCAGCATAAAATGCTAACAAATTTTTAAGGCATATATTCTTTCCTATATAGCAAATAAATCTTCATATGATAATCTACATTGCAAAAAAAATTTATAGTATTCAAAAACCTACTGTTTTCATATAACATATCAAAGCATGTACTAATGCAGTTTACACTAAGAAAAAATCACCTCTTCCTGTTGCCATTGTGGGAGAAGCTCATTCAATGCTCGAGGTTCAAAAACATTACCAGATAGTATGTGAGCACCTGAAATCAGATAGATATCATTGCTCAAGAGTCTACAAGTACATTTGAAAGGTAAAGGCACATTTTGAGAAATTGAAACCAGCAACAATCCCTAGCATATCAGTATATGCAAATATGACTTTAACTATCATTTTCCAACTAATTACTCTAGCAACCACAAGAAAACTAGGCGAGAGCTTTGACTACAATACTAATTATATTGGGTTCAGTTTTAAGCTTAAAGAAAACAATCCCACACG